TGTATGTTTCTAGGAATTTATTTATTTCTTCCCAAATGTCCAATTTGTTGGCCTATAGTTGTTCATAATTATTTTATTGTAATTTTTTGTATCTTTGTGGTGTTAGCTATTACTTCTCCTCTTTTGTTTCTGATTGTGTTTATTTGGGTTCTCTCTCTTTTTTTTCTTGACGAGTCTAATTTAAGGTATATCAGTATCTTTTGAAAAAACCAACTCTTGGTTTTATTAATCTTTTGTATTTCTTTAGACTATATTTCATTTATTTCCATTCTGATCTTTATAATTTCCTTTCTTCTACTCACTCTGGGCTTTATTGTTCTTTTACTAGTTCTTTTAGGTATAAAGTTAGATTCGTTACTTGAGATTTCTCTAGTTTCTTGAGGTAGGCCTGTAATGCTGTGAATTTTCTCCTTAGAACTGCTTTCATTATGTCCCACAGATTTTAGATTATTGTGTTCCATTTTTCATTTGTCTCAAGGTAATTTTTATTTATTTTTTAATCATCTTTTACTTTTCAATTAAAGTTGACATACAATATTATATTAGTTTCAGGTGTATACCCCAGTGATTAGACATTATATAACTTACTAAGTGATCATCCCCATATATCTTATACCCATCTAACACCATACGTAGTTATCAAAATATTATTGACTATATTCCTTATGCTATACTTTATATCCCCATAACTACTCTGTATCAACAAATTTGTACTTCTTTCTTTTTAATCCTCACCCAAGGATATTTTTCTCTTTATCTTCAGATATAGTGGGAGGGAGAGAGAGAGAAATATCAACGTGAGAGGGACACATCGACTGGTCTGGTTGCCACCTGCACGACTCTGACCAGGGCCAGGGACAAACTGCCACCAAGGTACATGCCCTTGGCAGGAATCAATCCTGTGACTCATTGGTCTGCAGGCTGATGCTCTACCGCTGAGCCAAACCGGCCAGGGCAAATTTGTACTTCTTAATCCCTTCACCTTTTATTCCTAACCCCCAACTCCTATTGCATCTGACAACCATCAAAATGTTCTCTGTATCTGAGTCTGTTTCAGTCCTGCTTGTTCGTTTATTTAGTTTTTTAGATTCCATTGTTAATAAATATATATTTATTGCCATTTTATTGTTTATATTTCTCATCCTTTTTATTCCTCTTCTTCTTAAAGAAGACCCTTTAACATTTCATGTAATACTGGTTTGGTGATAATGAACTCCTTTAAGTTTTTCTTGTCTGAGAAACTCTTTGCATGTCCTTCGATTCTAAATGGTATCTTTGCTGTGTAATGTTGGCTGTAGGTCCTTGCTTTTCATCACTTTGATTATTTCTTGTCAATTGATTCTGGCCTACAAAGTTTCTGCTGAGAAATCAGCTGACAGTCTTATGGGAGTTCCGTTGTAGGTAGCAAACTGCTTTTCTCTTGCTGCTTTTAAGATTATCTCTTTGTCTTTAATCATTTGCATTTTAATTATGATGTGTCTTGGTGTGGGCTTCTTTGGGTTCATCTTGTTTGGGACCCTCTGCACTTCTTGGACTTGTATGTCTATTTCTCTCACCAGGTTAGGGAAGTTTTCTGTCATGTTTTCCAAAAGGTTTTCAGTTCCTTGCTCTCTCTCTTCCCCTTACGGCACCCCCATGATGCAAAAGTTGGTATGTTTGCAGTTGTCCTAGAGTAGTGGTTCTCAACCTGCCTGATGTTGCAACCCTTTCACACAGTTCTTCATGTTGTAGTGACCCCCGACCATAAAATTACTTTTGTTGCTACTTCATTACTGTAATTTTGCTACTGTTATGTCTTAGGCGACCCCTGTGAAAGGGTCATTTGACCCAGGTTGAGAACCGCTGTCTTAGAGGCTCCTTACACTATCCTCATTTTTTGGATTGTTTTTGCTGTTCTGATTGGACATTTTTTGCTTCCTTATATTCCAAATTGCTGATTGATTCTCGGCTTCATCAACTCCACATTGATTCCCTCTAAATTAGTCTTTGTTCTTGTTAGTGTAGCCTTCATTTCTGACTGGTTCTTTTTTATGGTTTCCATGTCTTTTTTAAACTGTTGAAGCTCTCATTAACTTCATTTTTATAACCACTGTTTTGAACTCTGAATCTAGTAGATTTCTTGTCTCCATTTTGTTTAGTTCTTTTTCTGAAGTTCTGGTCTGTTCTTTCACTTGGGACATGTTTCTTTGTCTCATTTTGGCTGCCTCCCTGTGTTTGTTTCTATGTATTAGGTAGAGATGCTATGTCTCCTGGGCTTGGTAGAGTGGCCTAACACAGTAGGTGTCCCGTAGGGTCCAGTGGCACAGCCTCCCAGTTCACCCAAGCTGGGCACTCCAGGTGTGCCCCCATATATGGGCTGTATACACCCTTCTGTTGTAGTTGAGCCCTGATGCTGTTGGCACAACAATGAGAGGAATTTACCTCAGGATGATCAGCTTCAAAGACTGGCTACAACCACTGTGAAGGATAAGCTGTGCAGGGGCCCACCCCTTGGAGCAGGACTTATTTCAGCTCTGGTGCCCACTGAATCCAACCTTTGAGTGTGTTGCTTGTGGAGATGGTTGGGTGGTGCTTTGACATTGCCTGAAACTGTTCAATGAATGCAATGGCTCTGGGGTTTCCAGGAGGTGCAGGCCAAGGTGAGCCACCACCTGTGTTCTGCCTGGGGAATCTGAGCATGAGCTGAAAAGCAATATGCAAATGGCTGCTACTTGTGGTGGGCTTGGAGGTGCCCAGGAGATGCCAAATTGCAAACCAAGGCCAGCTGCTGTTAGTGCCAGGCCTGGGGCCACTTAGTGAGAGGTACAGGGCATGCAGAGGCCAAAGCTGCTTGTTTTAGAGATTTTAAGAAAGTCTAAGGCATGCACCAAGACAGGCCATTCATATGAAAAGGCTCTGAAAAAAAGCTTGGTGGTCTGGCAAGCTGGGTAGGGCAGGGTCTCAGGGAATCATCAGGGTGTGGCAAACAGTGATAGCCAGTTTGAGGAAGACTCAGACATGCCTCCTGCCCACCAGTTCTGTGGAGAAAGGGCTCAGCAAAGAAACAATGACCTCTGCCAGCAGTTTTGTTTAGGAGACAGCCACCTCTCCATCCCTTGTCCTGATGCCAGACAATTTAGTTCCTCCTCGTATGTCTCTGATGCTCTCCAAGCTGCTATCTCTGCATTGGATATCAGGGAATGAGTCTGAATAAGTCTATGTGTGGGCCCTTTAAGAGGAGCACCTGGGACACCAGAAGCACTCCATCTCACTCAACCACAATTCCTGTTGGTTTTTACAGCAAAAGTTGTGGGGACATCTCTTCCTGGCTCTGGAATCCTGGGCTGGGGTCCTTGTGTAGGGGTAAGAGTCCCTGCTCCTCAGAGGAGACCTCCATAGCCAAGATATCCCTCTCAATTATTAACTGCCACACATGGGTGTGGGACCAGCCCATTCCACACCTCTGTCCCTTTTACCCATCTCAAATGGGCTTCTTCTATGTATCCTTAGTTGCAGGACTTGTGTTCAGCTAGATCTGAGGTGGTTCTGAATGACGGTTGTTCTGTAGTTTTGTTGTAATTTTGATGTAGTTGTGGGAAGATGCAAGTACCACATTTACCTATGCAGCTATCTTGACTGGAAGCCTCCCTCAACTTTGATTTCTTTCTTGATCTCATTGTTAGCCCATTTATTGTTTAGTAACATATTATTTAGCCTCCATGTGTTTGAGTGTTTTTCAATTTTTTTCTTATAATTGGTTTCTAGTTTCATACTATTGTGTTCAGAGAAGATGCTTGGCATGATTGCAATCTTCTTAAATTTATTCAGAATTGTTTTGTTTCCTAAATTGCTCTATTTTAGAAAATGTTCCATATGCACTTGAAAAAAATGTACATTTTGCTGCTTTGGAGTAAAATGCTCTGAAAATATCAATTAAACCCATCTGGTTCAGGCCACTGTTTCCTTGTTTTATGTCTGGAAAATCTACCCATTGATGTCAATGGGGTGTTAAAATCCCCTACTATGACTGTATTACTGTTGCTCTCTCCCTTTATGTCCATCAAGATTTGCTTTATATATTTAGGCACTCCCATTTGGGATACATAAATGTTTATAAGGATTATATCCTCTTGTTAGTTGATCCCTTTGTCATTAAGGGATTAGTGTTTTTTGGTCCTTTGTTTTAAAGTCTATTTTGTCTGATATAAGTATTGCTACACCAGCTTTTCTTTTTTTCATTTATTTTTGCATGAAATATTTTTTTCCACCCCTTTACTTTCAGTCTGTGTGTGTCTCTTTTGTTCCGAGGTGGATCTCTTATAGATAGTATGTGCATGTGTCTTGTTTTCTTTTCCCTATATTGTTTGATTGGAGCATTTCACCCATTTAAAGTGGTTATCGATAGGTACATATTTATTGCTATTTTACTCATAATAACTGTTCCTCTTTTTTCTCTCCCTCTCTCTCTCTCTTCTCCTTAAAAAGCCCCTTTAACATTTTTTTGTAATACTGGTTTGGTGGAAATGAACTCCTTTAGCCTTTTCTTGTCTGGGAAGCTCTTTATTTCTCCTTCAATTTTAAGTGATAGCATTGCTGGGTATAGTAGTCTTGGTTGTAGGTCCTTGCTTTTCATCACTTTGAATGTTTCTTGCCAATACCTTGTGGCCTGAAAAGTTTCTGTTGATAATTCAGCTGACAGTCTTATGGGAGCACCTTTGTAATGATCTAATTTCTTTCTTTTGCTGCTTTTAAGATTCTCTCTTTGTCTTTAACCTTTGTCATTTTAATTATAATGTGTCTTGGTGTTGGCCTTTTTGGGTTCATCTTCTTTGGGACTGTCTGGGCTTCTAGGACTTGTATGTCTTTTTCCATCACCAGGTTAGGGAAGTTTTCAGTCATTATTTCTTCTTCTTCTTCTCCCCACACCCCTAAGGACTTAGCAGACTTTATTTGGCAGGCAAGAACACAGCAGACAAGGAAAGGGTGATCATTAAACTGAGCTCTCAGTGACGAGATGACTCTCAGCTAGAAGAGGGCTGAGGCAACCTCAGTTTCAGAAGTTCCAGGTTCACATCTAAGAAGGTGTATGGAGTGTAGTCATGATGCTGGAGATTCCTGTAGGTGGTGTGGTCAAACAGCTCAGGAGGAGGGGCAGCTTGTACCGGCTCTGCCCTTTTTGGTGGGCTTTGCTTATTGGAATTCAGTGGCAGTCCTTTGTCACTCTTTCCTGATTCTGCAGAGAGAGAAGCTGTAGGAGCAAGTCCTCGAAACACTTGTCCTTCTAGGAGCACAGTCTTCAGCGTTCCAATGCGTCCTTGCCTGAGCAGAAGGAAGGCCGCCATCGTGGTGACTCAAAAGCAGGTTGGGTCTCATTATTTCTTCTAATAGGTCATTGATGCCCTGCTCTCTCTCTTATCCTTCTGGCATACCTATGATGCAGATGTTGTTACACTTCATGTCCCAGAAGTCCCTTAAACTATTCTTATTTTTAAAAAATTTTTTCCACACACCTGCCAGAATGGCTGCCATCAACAAATCATCAAACAACAAATGCTGGCGAGGGTATGGAGAAAAGGGGACTCCAGTACACTGCTGGTAGGAATGCAGACTGGTGCAGCCACTATGGAAAACAATATGGTGTTTCCTCAGAAAATTAAAAATTGAACTGCCACTTGATCCAGTGATTCCATTTCTAGGGATATATCCTAAGAAGCCTGAAACACCAATAAAAAAAAATGTACATAGCCCTATGTTCATAGCAGCACTATTTACAATTGCTAAGATCTGGAAACAGCCCAAGTGTCCATCAATAGATGAGTGGATAAAAAAGCTGTGGTACATATACACAATGGAATACTACGCAGCTGTAAGAAAGAAAGATCTCTTATCCTTTGAGATGACATGGAGGGTCCTAGAGAGTATTATGCTAAGCGAAATAAGCCAATCAGAGAAAGACAAATATCACATGATCTCACTTATTTGTGGAATATAATGAACAATACAAGCTGAATATACAAAATATATCCAGAGACATAGAAGTAGGAAACAAAACAATTCTGAATAAATTTAAGATGACTGCAATCATACCAAGCATCTTCTCTGAACACAAAAACCTCAGAGGAGGAGGATGGGGGGAGGAAAGAGATAAACCACAGAACTTATATGCATATATGTGTAACCAATGGACATAGACAACAATGCTGGGGGCGGGGCAGGATTGGGAGAAGGAGGTCAATTGGGGGAAAAAATAAAATAAAATGTTTGCTTTTGTTAATTCTCATCCAAGGTTATTTTTCCATTAATTCTTAGAGAAAGTGGAAGAGAGGGAGGGGGACAGAAAGAGAGAAACATCGACACAAGAGAGACACACTGAACTCTATATCTAGTAGATTTCTTGCCTTTGTTTCATTTAGTTCCTTTTTGGAGATTTCTCCTATTTTTTTCATTTGGGGCATATATCTTTGTCTCCCCATTTTGGCTGCCTCTTTGTGTTTGTTTCTATGTATTAAGTAGATCTGCTACATCTCCCAGTCTTGGTAGGGTGGCCTTATGTAGTAGGTATCCTGTGGGACCCAGTGGTCTCCCTGATTATTGAGCTGGAATGTCCCTTTTGTGGGTCGTGTGAACCCTCCTGTTGTAGTTGAGCCTTGATTGTTTTTGGCTTGTCTGAGCATGAGGTCAACTTTTAGGTTTCCTGACTATGAGGCCAGACCTTAACCTCAGTGTACAAGCTATTGTGTGAGTGGTGATCACATGTAGTGTAATTTACTTCAGCAGAGTCTGGTGCTTGTCACGATCTCCCTTTAAATGTGCTGTTTGTGGAGCCAACTGGGTCCTGTTCTGATGTTGTCTGAAGTGTATTTATTCTGGGGCCTCTTGAAAGGGTCACCAGTGCAGGTCAATATCAGACACTGCCTGTGACTGGCTCTGAGCAACCTGTTTGGAGCTACAAAGCAATCCATAGTTTGTGGCTGCCTCTGCTGGGCCCGGGTGTGCATGGGAAGGGCCAAGATCTGCACCAAGGCTGGCTTTCACCAACACTAAGCCTGTGGAGCAGGTGAGCAAAAGTCCCAAGGCACTCTGAAATTTGCCTCTGCCTGCCTCCACCTACCAGCTACTTGTGAGATTCAGTCACCAAAAGATTCTCTGGTGGTATTCAAGCTGCATGAGGTAGGTATGCAGTGAGTCACCAGGTAAGGGTGAATAGTATTAACCAGATTGATAGATTCAAACTTGGTGGCCAGTGCTAGGTCTGAAGCCTTTCAGGAAAAGTCCCATGGTACACCAAGACCTGCTTCCACTCCCCATGTACCCACAGACTTTTTGGTGGGGTGAGGTCTCGGAATCATCAGGGTGAGGTCAGCTGTGTTTATCAGACTCAAATAGACCAAGATTTGGCCATGTAAAGGAAGGGCTCTGCACTGTTCAGATGTGAGAGAGAATAATGGTCCTTGCCCTGGAGCCACACAACTCGGTTTTATACTCCCCTGACTCTGCCTGGACATCTGCACCATGGGCCCAGACAGCTGACTCCTCTGTAGGGCATGCGTTTCTCAGGGTAGGGCAACAGAGAGTCGGGATGTTGAGGCTATCACATTCCATATTGATACTACATGGAGGAGAGTGCTTGATGCAAACGAGATGGCATCTGTGCGTGGTATGGGAGAAGGACTCAGCACAGGGACCCTAGCAGCTGTCCCTTCAGCTCTCTCCTCAGAACCACACAACCCAGTCTTCTCCTCACATGATTCCAGTCTGCACCAAGCCACCCTCCCTCTGCCAGAGCCCAAGTGAGTGGCTGCAAACAAGATTTTCTTCACTGGCCCTTTAAGAGGGTGCCTGGGTTTCTAACAGAATTCTGTCTTTCCCTGGCGGACAAAATTCCTGATTTTCACAGCCAGATGTTATGTGGGCTCCTCTTTCTTGCTCTGGTACTCTTAACGGGGGTGCCCAGTACTGGGTTGAGATCCCACACTCTTCAGGGGTCTGCTGCAGTTGAGATATCCTTCTGGATTCTCAGCCGCAGCATGTGAGTGCAGGGCCAGCACTTTTTACATCTCCATCCTTCCTACCAGTCTTTATGTGGCTTTTTCTGTAAATCCATAGTTATAAGACTTCTGTTTAGCTAATCTTCAATTGGTCAGGTTGACTGCTCTTTATTTTAGCTGTAACTCCAGTTTAGTCCCAGGAGGAAGTGCCTAGTTTCCACCTACTCTGTCACCATCTTGGATCCACTCTATTTCTTTTTGACTCAGTTTCAGAAGTCTGTGTCCTTCTAGCAATTTGTCCATTTAATGTAAGTTATCTAATTTGTTGGCATACAGTTGTTCGTGACATTCCTTTATAATCCTTGTAACTTACATAGTCAGTAGTGATGCCCCCCCTTTCAATCCTGGTTTTAATAATTTGAGTTTTCACTTTTATTTTTTGGTCAGTATAGCTAAGATGGTTAATTTTGTTGATCTTACAAAAAGAAAACCCCACAATTTTTGGTTTCATTTATTTCCTCAGTTGTTTTTCTGCTTTCTATTTCATTTGTTTCTTCTCTATTCTTTATTATTTCTTCCCTTCTGCTTACTTGGGTTTTACTTGTACTTCTTTTTCTACATTCAAAGGGTCTAAAGTTACTTATTTGAGATTTTTTCATAAAAAAGATTTACAGGGGGTGGGGAGGGAAAAATGGGTAAAAATGTATAAACTTCCAGTCGTAAAACAAGTCATGGGGATTTAATGAACAGAATAGTTAATTATACAGTATCCCATATTTGAAAGTGGCTAAGGAGTAGATCTTAAAAGTTTTCATCACAAGAAAAAAATTGTAATGATGTACGGTGATGGTTGTTAATGAGACTAATTTTGGTGAACGTTTTGCAACATAAATATCAAATCATTATTTTGTACACCTGAAACTAATGTTATATGTCAATTATACCTCAATAAAAAATAATTTATAGCTATAAAGTTCCCTGTAAGCACTGCTTTCACTGCATCTCATAAATATTGGTATATTTCATCTTCAGTCATCTTAAAGTATTTTCTAAGTTCTATTAAGATTTTCTCTATGATCCATCGATAACTTATAATGTGTCATTTAATTTTCACTTGTTTGTGATTTCCAAAATGTTTTTACTGTGGTCTGAGGACATACTTTATATAAATTCAATCGTTTACAATTTTTTTAAAATTTTTTTATTTATTTTTTGTTACAGATGTTTCTCCTTTTTTACAATTTTTTTCAGACTTGTTTTGTGGCCTGGTATTTGGTCTATCCTGGAGAATGTTCCATGTGCACATGAGAAGATACCTATTCTGCTATTGTTGGAATGTTCCATAGATGTCAGTTACATCTAGTTGGTTGATAGTACTATTCAAGTTCTCTATATTCTTGCTAACTTTGTCTGGTTGTTCTATCCTTTACTGAGTGGGGAAATGATGTCTCCAATCATTGTTTTTGAATGTTTTATTTCTCCCTTCAACTACTTTCTATTTAATCTTAACACTAACCTCAGAGTGATCTTTTACAAAAATAAGTCAGATTATGTCACTCCTCTTCAAATTCCTCTAATGCCTTCCCACCTTACACAGAATACAAACCAAAGTATATACAATGCCTAAAGGTCCAACAAAATATGTTCCCTATTACCTCTTACTGCATTCCACACCATCCCCCAACTTCTCTTCTTTAATCCAGCCCACTGCCAACACTCCACCAACATTCCTTAAACATGCTGGGCACTCTTTGCCCATAGGACCTTTACACTTGCTGTTCTCTTTGCCTAAAATGTTCTTCTTTCAGATGTCTGAATGACTCCCTTCTTTATCTTCTTCAGATCTGTGCTCAAATATCTTTCTCAATGAGATATTCTCTGATCACTCTATTTTAAATTGTAATGTCTCCTCATTTCCCCTTCCTGCTTGATTTTTTTTCTACACAGCACTGGTCTTCATCTGTCATAATGTATAAATTGTAATGTAATAACACACATAATATATTATTTATTATCTGTCTTTCCCCACTAGAATGTAAACGTCAAGAGCACAGGAATTTTTGTCTGTTTTATTTCCTCTCTATCTCCAGCTTAGAGTAATGCCTGTCACATATTAGGTGCTCAATAAATGTATGCTCCATGAAGGAATGAATGCTCTGATCACTGTTTGGGGAAGCTAGTCAGCTGGGCAGCAGACTAAGTTGGATTCCCTTGTCAATCAATGTATTTAACTGGACCTTAAATACAGATTAATTCTGTTAACATAAGACTGTAAAATTGTGAACAATAATTTTTAAGAATTCCATTAATGCTATTAACATTATCAGTATTAATGCTGATCCAGTTGGGCCAGC